ATCTTGTGGTACTGCAATATGGCATAACTATTTGCCAATCTTATCGTTCTTTGAATTTATTTATTATTTAAGATTGTGTTTATGTTGTATTTTAACTGATTTTATCTCTGTAAACCGCCCAGAGTTGTTTTTTAATGAGATGGACGGTGACAAATTTGAAAAATAAATAAACAAACAAACAAACAAATAAATAAATAAAGTATGGCAGTACTTGTGGTACTGCCATATGGCATAAATTTTCAATGATGGAATATACACTGTAATACATTGATTAATACTGAGGTGTATTTTCTCTGCAACAGATTAACATGAAACCCCATTAGAAATTTTTTAAGATAGACCAGTTGTGGGCCACACTGCCTGTGAGTGACAAGTCTACACAAATGAGCAAAAACAAAACAAAAACTAAAATTGACCAAATTTCCCGAGAAAACCAAATTGTGAAATTTCTGTGATTTTACACAAGATCAAGTAAGATTTTTGTATTCTCACCTGGTATTTCATGAGATTTGAAGCTGAAGTTGTTGAAACATTAGTAACCTTGTGATTTTATGTAATATTTTGGGCAGCGAGAAAAATATGCCATTGAGTGACATTATGCGATATAGACTACATAGCCAGCTTTCAGAGGTTGGCAATACACTTCAAGAACAATTATTTTAACACTGGAAGCGCTGCAGTGAAGATAGGACCTATTTTAGAAAATGTGGGAAGAACAGAAGTTATTCTCCCATATTTTCAAAATAAGCTATTGTTCTGCTATTGCAGAAGTAATATATCAAAACATGGAGCTCTAGTCATGCCACTCCTGCCAGATAACATTTATATCTATCATTAGTCTATTCATACTACAGATGTTTATGTATATACAGGTTCATCATGATAATTACACTGTTGCTACAAAATATTAGCACTTCAAGGTAGGCCTGACCAGAAAACTGACTCCATAAATTTGACTGGAAATATTAATTGATACAGCCTACAGTAATATAATTTTGAAAGCATTTTCAAGATTCCCTCCCACTTAAATCCCAGGGAGTTAGGGCAGTGTCAGTCTGAGTTTCTTCCATGTTTTCTTTGTCTCCTGGGCTTAAACATGTTTTTGTATATGCTGTTGTAACTGTCTCTGCATAATTTATCCAAGGTCCTCTCTGTGGCTTTCAGTATAAAACTATTATGCTTTGTAACTGTTAAGCTGCTATCTGTCTGTCTGTATATCACATATTCCCACCAAAGCCAGCCCATAATATTATAGGATCTATTTATTTATTTAATTTATAAGGCCAGCCAACTCAAACAGTGTGAGTCTGGGTGGTGTACAGCATAAAAAACAAATACTCGTCCCCCCCAAACCCACCGTATAACATTAAGCATATACAATACAGAAATATAAAATACAAAATATAAATTGGCAACCAAACAATATAGCAGAACAAGCAAAAGGGGACTCTCACTCAACTGGCCCCTAATGCCTGGGGGAAGAACCAGGTCTTAATGACTTTCCTAAAGGTGAGCAGAGTTGGGGCTTGCCATATATTGGGAGGGAGATTGTTCCAGAAAACAGGGGCAACCACAGAAAAGGCACGCTTCCTGGGTCCCATATGATAACAAGATTTAAAAGAAGAAACCTGGACCATGCCCCCTTGTGGGAGCATGTGGGGCAGGCAGGTATTCTTGGCAGAAGGCAGTCCCTCAAGTAACCTGCTCCTATGTCATATAGGGCTTTAAAGGTGATAACCAGACCTTAAATTGTACCTGGAAGCCTACTGGAAACCAGTGCAGCTTGTGGAATAGTAGTGTTACTTGGGTATAATGAGATGCTCCCATAACTATCTGCACTGCTGCATTCTAGACCAACTGAAGTTTCCAATTGGTTTTCAAGGGCAGACCCAGGTAGAGTGCATTGCAATAGTCCAATCAGGAGGTGACCAAGGTGTGAGTGACCATGAGCAGGGCCAAGAATGTGTGCAACTGGCACACAGGGTGCAGTTGTGCAAAGCTACCCCCACCCTCCCAGCCACAGCTGCCACCTGCTCTTCTGCCAGGAGCTGTGAGTCCAGGAGAACCCTCAGATTATGCACCAAGTCTATACCAAAGATGGAAATCCTCCAATTCTGAGATCTGAGAGACCCAAAATCAGTCTTGGCAGGGTTGAGCACAACCTATACTTCCCCATCCAGACACTCACAGCCTGCAGACACTATATTAATATTGAACACAATTATCTGACTGCTTATGTAGCTAAAATGGCACCACTGACATACAAGATATAGGCTCAAGGAACTAAGGTTTGCAAAACTAAAATCATCATCATCATCATCATCATCATCATCATCATCATCATCATCATCATCATCTTTAAAGAAAATGAAAATCAAGCAGGAATGAAAGGAAAGATACTCCAAAAGTTTTAGTTTTCAATAGTCTGGAGAAAAGTGGGAAAAGTACAGTATGTTTAAAGGGAAGTTGATAGTTTTCAATTTCTGCCAACCTTCCAGTTTTTCTATCCTCTGCAGGAACTAGTGGCTTGACTTGGTGCTCTCAGGAATAATTTATTCTGGCAAGTGGCACCCCAGTATGTTGGGAAGGTGCCAGATTGGAGAAGGCCAACATGATTATGGCAGAATCTGCCTTTACTTCACATTGCTCATAGTGGCACATATCTTTCCCTTGGCCCTCTCATCTCTCCAAGCGCTATTTAGGATTGTACCTCACTGGCTTCATCAGCACAATTGTACTGGAACTCTTCTAAACACCCCTTTTCCTTACTTTATTTTTTTTTTTAAAAAAGAACCATACTGCTGATGTTTTTCATTTACACCACACTGCCACTTTATATGACCAGACTGTTCTAAAAATCAACATATTTTATACAAATTCTAATATGTGTTACTGTTCTTGATAAATATGTGTAACTCATTGTACAACGATTTGATGTAAGAAATTAAACTTGAAATTATATTTAAAATGAGGATATTGTTATCTGGAGATATTAGAAATAGGTTTTCCAAACTGGGTTCTGCATTCTGTGGGACTAAGGGGAAAACAAAAAACACCTCTTCCAAAGGGGCTAAGGAAAAAAACCATGCAAGGGATGAAGGAGGAGGGGGGATCTCCCTGCAAGTGCCTAAGACTTAATCCCTTGCAGAGAGGGACTTTTTCCCCCTTTGTCCCCCGGAGAAAGTTTTTTTTTTTTTACCTTAAACAACCCTGGTTCCCTTGCTACTGCTAACAGTATTAAAAAGTCTTGTTCAGTGAGTTGGTGTTCACTTTAGCTGCTTCCAGATGGAAAGATCTTAACTTAACCTTTGCTGTCTAAAGACATTCCTAAAAGAAATAATTCAGTGATTGATTGTTGCCTCAATATCAGGTCTGATTTGCCACCATTACTTCAAAATTTCCAGGCTGATATGTAGCCTCCCAGGGAAGCTGTGATAATGAAGTGACAAGACAGAGAACCAATTACACATCTTTAAGCTGATAAATGTATTATAGGTGGGATCCTGATGGTTGATTAAGCTTTGCCTATGATTACCGAGTTCCAATCACATGTTTCCAGCAGCTACTTGAGTGCTCAGAGATTTCAGTTCCTTATGAGGATCTATCTTGATGTATCTGTTTAAATATCTCCTCCAAATTTAACCGAATTTTCTTTGGTTGAATAACTTTTTAAAATCATGGTAAGAAGAATTAATTTTTTCACCTCCTGCTTATTATGACCAAATGTTGGTAACAAAAATTTTTAAAAATCACTAAGTTCCTTTAACCATCAAGCCATCCCCCCAGTTTTAAAATAATAACAAAATGATTTCATGTCATTAATCATGCAAGTACATTGTGAAAAGCAGAAAATTATCTATTCTCAAATGGGCTTAGTAAAAGTTTCTATACATTTATACATTAGATAATCTTTTTCAACCTAGTGTCGTTTAAATGTTGAGGCAAATACTTTTGTCATTCCCAGTCAGTCTGGAACAATGCTTTGGTATAGCTTATCCCAAGGGAAGTTACGTTCATATTTATTCAAATACGGTATCTCACAAAAATAGGATTTTATTCTTGAAAAATAATGCCATTACGAAAGTAATTAGTAATGAGTATGAGTATTATGAAAAGTGGAACCTTTAGGATAGATGGTAGGAATAATTATTCGGCCAACCTCCAGTAACTATCCGAGCAGACCTGACTATATCACAGGCCAGTTCTGGCCTGTGTCTTTAGACGAGGCTAGAATTCAGTGGCAAGGCACAAGCTGTAAATGCAGAACTTCCTAAATTCAGTCTCCAATATATCCAGTTTTAAACAATTCAGAGTGTGAATAATGGGAAAGAACTCTGTCTGAAGTATACCAGAATAAACAAATTGTACTAATGCAGCCCCAGGGTGGGAAGGTTGGCAGGAATCTGAAATGGATGGCAGATAGTGAAAGAAGAGGAGTCAATAGCATGAATCTGGCGCCCCAGCGACATAAAGAAAGCAAGGCAAGGCAGTGCCACCAAATTCATTGTTTATTGTGGATGATGATGTCAGGGCAAATAATACATTATTTTGGCTTTGCTGACTTTTGGAGAGGTTGTTATTTACTACAAGTGGCAGGAAACAAGTGTCTGACAGGGAACAAGTTGCCTTTCTACGTTTCTCTAGTAATGCTTTCTGCTTAGAAATCTTTATTAATAATAAAGACAACAGCCCTTCTGCCTTCAAGCTGTAATCTAAAACAAGTCTGCATAAAAGGATAAATCTATGGGGAAGGAAGAGCAAAATAAGTAAACTCAGACACTTATTCTTAATATTACAGAGTTTACCAGCTGGGAAAAAAATAGACTCCTCATAGTTAAGAAAAAACTACAAATTATTCCATATTGACACACATCAATAAAATACTTGATCAAGCTCATGGTGCAGAAGCAAGGAGATCATCATCATCATCATCAATTCACACTCTCAGAAAACCAGGGAATATTTCAAAGGTATAAGACAGATTTCATAGAACATCTTACCAGACTTGTTCTTGCATTCTATATCATAGCCTGTGATTGGACTATTTCCATCAAATCCCATGGTCCATCTCAGGGCAATGCTACGTGCTCTCACCTCTCGGATTTCTATTTCTGGAGGATCTGGGGGTTCTGGACAAACAGACAAACTCTGCTTTAATTAAGAGAAGGAAACTTTTGTGAGTCAGCCACAGCAGTTACAATGACATAAAAAAATGTGGTATATAACACTAAAATATTTTACCATTTCCCTTGCTCACTGAGTTTTATAAGTTATTTTAAAACTTCCACCAACACCCACCCCCTCGGTCTGCTTTTGTCTACAAAATTCATATTATGTAGAATTTCTGTGTTGTAAACTTAAATAAACCAAGATGGCACTACTGTTAAAACTGAATCTCTCCCCCTCTAAATTTCCTACTTTGTATGTTAGTGCAACACTATCAACAGGCAAAAAGAGGCAGTTATTTATGTGGTAGATTCTGACAGGTAGAAGCAAGATAGAAGATAGCTTAAGGTGATATACAGGTATCTCTTATGTCCTCTTAAGCTATCATGCCATTCTCAGATGGCAGAGACACTGTTCCACATCAGTGCTGAAGAAAAACTGAATTATGACCCATCTGGCTGTGGTACATGAACGTGAAGGGGTTGCCATCTTGGTCTCTCCAAAAGATAAATGAAGTCTTGGGATGGCCCTCTATCTTTGTGTTTTGGGGTATATGGGGTGTGGAGGAGAGGGGGAGAAGGGAGGAAGTTTCTTTAAACATGTTTGCACAAAGTGATCCAAATATTTACTAACTGTTAGCCAGTTAGACTATAGCAGGACTGAAGCAGTACAGAAGTTTTGCAAATAAATAAAAAGAATAAACTTTAGTTGTTTACTAAAATTATCTACAATATTATGTGATGCTTAAGCAAACCTTGTGATTGTGGGTATATGTGTCTGTATGTAAGAAGTATGTGTATTTAATCTATAAATTCGCAGATGATACAAGTTTTGGGGCTTATCTCCAAAGGAGATGAGTCTGCCTACCGGGATGAGGTGGACCGGCTGCTTTC